TGTTCTTTCTGTAATAAGTCAGGTCACACAGAGTCAATGTGTTTCAAAAAGAAGAATTAAGACAAATTTTGTTCTTATTGAAAAACAAAAGGTCATGTGTTGGATGAGTGTCGAAAGCACACAGTAGACATACAACATAAAACAATAAGAAAAGTTCAGCAAGTTAATGTGCATGATTCTTCTGATGCAAAATATTTTAAAACTGTATTAATTAATGGATATCCAACAAATGGATGCCGTAAGGGGCGTATATCCATGAATGCCGTAAGGGGCGTGCACAAATGGATGCCGTGAGGGGCGTATATCCATGAATGCCGTAAGGGGTGTGCACAAATGGATGCCGTGAGGGGCGTATATCCATGAATGCCGTAAGGGGCGTGCACAAATGGATGCCGTGAGGGGCGTATATCCATGAATGCCGTAAGGGGCGTGCACAAATGGATGCCGTGAGGGGCGTATATCCATGAATGCCGTAAGGGGCTAGTATTCATATTTGCCATAAGCTGCTTAAATTGTAACTGCTCTAATGGGCTCAATTTCATACTCGCCGTAAGGGGCTTGTCTTTATAATTACTTTCAGGTTAAATAACTGCAACTGCCACCTGGTAATCAGGCTACGAGTCTTCGGTACAGGAACCTGCTGCCAAAACTTAATAGAGGATCCTTCGAGGACGAAGGAGATTCAGGATGGCCGAATGTTAGACGACGAAAATCAACTAAATGAACGTCACTAGTTTAATCTATGTTATCGACAGCACTAGCTGTCATATTGACGATGTCATCTGTCAAATGGGACGGTTTAGAAAAGTTTCCCGCGCAAAGTGGAGTGACGCTCGATACTGGTGGGAAGTTGGAAGGGCACTGTGTTCTGTGTTTTTAAAAGAATCCGATTATAATAAACTTTTAGATATTTAAAGTATTGAGTTTTACTTAAAAATATATATAATTCTTCTGTGAGTGTGTATGTCACTGAACTTCTCTCAAACGACTGGACTGATTTTGATGAAATTTTTTGTGTGTGTTCAATGGGATCTGGGAATAGTTTAGATTCACAAATCAGCCCGGCAGGTGACGCTGCAGTCGATCTTTGGGTTAATTATCCAAAACAGCTGAACTAATTTGAATGAATTTTTGTTTATACATTCAAGTGGATAATATGCAGGACAACGTCTGTTGGGTCCGCTGGTATACATATAAAAAAATAGAGGTACAATCTATATGTTGTATACTAGTTCCGACTAGCGGCTTCACCCGCGTTCTCGTCAGATAAAAAGTAGCCTATGTGTTATTCCGGACCATAACCTACCCCTGTTCCAAATTTCATCTCGATCTCTTCAGCCGTTTTAACGTGAAGAAGTAGCAAATAAACAAACAAACTTTCACATTTATTATAATTAGTAGGATTACATGGGTCTCGTCTCGTCCATTACTAGCGGAATTTGAGATTTACAATGTATATGAACACCTGCTGCCTACCCCCATACTTGTCAGTAACGTAGCGTACTTCACTGATACATTACAGGTACATTCCAGTACAGTAGTCTGTAGTCTGTACAGAATAGGTCCAAAAACTGGGATTCAAACCCAACATTTTTTGCTCAACAGACTATCGAGCTCGACCAACCAAACTAGTAGGTCATTTGCCCAAACCAAGAATAGAACCAGAGTCTCTTTGCAACCATGCATTCGATTAATTGTAAACTTCGATTTATGGCTTACAAACTGCTCACTTGTAATTAGTTCCAACCCACGTACAAGTGCATAGTATTTTTTTAAGTGGGGAAAATCATCGAATGACTTCTCCCGCTTGGGTGAGGCGGGAGTGTCAGACTCTTACTGACTAAAAACCACCCCGTTCCTTCTCCTGCACGTCGAGCCGGAGCCCCGGTTACCCGTTAGGTTCTCCGCGACTCCGATTCGGCATCGGCCCTATTGGGCCCCATCTGTGGTGGTCTGATGGCTCTTTGAGGCGCGCGCGGAACGCGACGCGCCGTACGCTCGGGTCTGTTTCTGGTCGGACGGGGAGCCACCCATGCTCACCGTCCGCAGGCCCGCGCTTACGGTGGCCGGAGATCGTCCCGCGATCCCCGACGCCCGGTGTGTCCTTCGCGATGGCTGGGTTGCGAGGAGGCAGCGCTTCGCTGCCTCACGCGTCCCGCCTCCTCCTTAGCTAGCATGACTGCTTCGCAAAAGGAGGAGACGGTGTCCCAGTCCGCATGACCCGCACTAATGCCGGACGCGAAAGTAGTATGCGATCCTGTCCTGCAGGTCCTGCTCCCAAACAGAGCATCCTATCAAAGTACTAGTGCCTACTTTTAAATAGATAGTGGGTAGAAGTATTTACAGACACTCCAATTTTATGTATCCGTCTAGATATACAGATATATTCCATATATGTATAATATATATCTGTACAGATACATAAAAATGCAGTGTCTGTTTGTAATATTCAATTAACCGCTTTTTGCAACACGTATATTATTTATTGTTTATTATTTTTTAGGGAACAGAGAGTATAGTTCCCTAAGATCGGAAAAGGAGGATCCTCCGACCAGGCGAGGTGATCGTGCCTGGCGGGCTTTCTGCCCAACAGTTGTTCGTTGGGATTTTCTATCCGTGTTTATTCGCTTGTAAACTTTGCATGTGCGATGTAGGATTCATGTGACGTCATCCGTTGACATGTGGCATGCGTCGCCACAATTTATTTATTTAATAATAAAAGGTACATGATATGCCTTACAATCTAACATATGAATGTATTTCAAGTCAAAGTCAAAAATCATTTATTTCAATTAACTAGACCGGAAGGCACTTTTGAATACATACCTTAATATTCTATTTTCAATTTTTGTTTATCTGTTTGTACTGTATAATCTCTGGAATGGCTTAACCGCTTTGCAAGACTTTTATAAGCAGTTAGCTGATGTACTAAGGAGTATAATATATAAGATAGACTACTTTTATTTTAGAAAGTTGAAACAAAGAAAGTTGTGTTCTAAAATTCATATTGTATTCGGACGAAGTCGCGGGCAACAACTAGTATTTAATATAGTTAAATACTTTACAACGGGATCGAACTCAGTACTTGGAGTAGTTGAGCAATCATATTATACCAACGGAATACCAACAAACTACAAGACATGCGGAAAATAATGGAATAAAAATATTATGAGGAACAAATTTCCCTAAATATCTCTCCTATGAAGACAATAGATACTGATAGACTGCACGGTTGGCGCGGTGGCTGAGCAACTGATTGCCGCGCAACGTGTCGCGGGTTCGATTCCCGCACGGAACAACTCTTTATGTGATCCACAAATTGTTGTTCCGGGTCTGGGTGTCATGTGTATGTGATATTGTATGTTTTGTAAACGCACTCACGACACAGGAGAAAATCCTAGTGTGGGGCAACGTTTGAACGCCACTGCTGGACTGTGTCTCCTCTACAACGTTTGTCAATGAAACTTGCAATATTAAAGGTTCAGCTGTAAGTATCAGGCTGATATTATAGTTAATAATCTCTGCTAGCAGAGGTCCTTGTCCAGCTTCTGACAAACATGAAGTCCCTTAGTCGGGTTTACGACACCCGCGGGAATAGAGGTCAGTGACTAATGTATATTGCTACTCTGCCGTCCCTATACGCCTATACGGGTTATCTTAGTCGGATCAGCCTTATCGTTCCCTCATCGTTCGCTTGATAAAATTGGCGTGTAAAGTAGTAGCTTTGTAGCCTATTAGCAGAAATAAATTCACTTGTTTCACTTGTGAATATTATAAATACGGTATAACATTGCCAATCAATGTTAATAATGCCAAAGATTTTCGAATTAGGTGTGGGAGAAGGGATCGAGGTACCAGGGCTACATAAATAAGAAGACGTTTGTTGTGAGCGTCCGTTTATATTGACTGATAGTGCTCGTACATACGTATACCTTAACATTACACTACAGTCACTACACTAGTCACTACAATTACTGACTAGCCATCACTGTCACTCCGAGTGACGACACGAGGCGACACACACATACTGACGACATTACAATATGAAACTGTACTCTATAACAATGTCGTACGTTGGAAGTTAAATTTTTATATAGGACTATAACAATGGTTGTATAAAGTCACTCGGTAACATATTGATTTTAACGACTTATATATAAAAAAATGTATATGAATGTGTCAGTATGAATGTATTTTACAGTTTCATATAAGTTATTCTTAGAATTACAATTATATTTTTATATTTATTTTGGCACAAACATTGAACATCCGGTGTGTATAACAAACAACAAACAATTTGTTCTATATTTAGAAGTAAAACACATTTATGTAGCACAGACAGAGATAGTTCACAAATATAATAAAATGTATAATGTACCACTCTCTTAGTTTGAGACAGTCAATTATGATAATGTGTCTCAACACGTGTTTCACTCAACAACATGGAGGTCCCGTGACAATAGTTTACACAATTACATCTCGTTAGGGTACATTTACAGGAAGTTTAACGCAAATAAATATTCAGTAGCATTGTCTATTTCAGTATGTTACTCCTGAGATCGTCAGCGTATAGTCCCGCGGCGCGCGCCCAGCCACACGCGCCGCGAGACGTGTCCACCGCGCCGCGTCGCCACGTCTGTCCCTGTGCCCAGCGTGTCCCACTGTCACGTCTGTCCCTGTGCCCAGCGTGTCCCACTGTCACGTCTGTCCCTGTGTCACGTGTGTCCCAATACTTACATACAAGCGACCTGTCTAGTGTTTATTAATACTAAGTTAACGTAATTAAGTATGTATACATATGTGTACAGAGCGGCGGCCGCGCGCGTGTGTGCTGTCCGTACATGTGTGTGTGTGAGTGTGTGTGATTCTGTTTGTGACTGTATGTGTATGGTTTACAAAGTGCAAGTGTGGTGACATGAAACAACAGCTGTTACTTGTGTGTATATGTGTGTGTGTGTATGCGGCGGCCGGCGCGGTCCCTGGTCGTGGTCAGCAGATGGTTACTCATCGTAGCGCTCCATCGTCTCCTCCGCGCTCCTCCTGCACACACAGACATACACACTACTAATCATGGACATAGATTGATCAGCTTCAGATATGGCAAATTAGTGTAATAAATAAAGTTCTCATAGTTCATGTATATCTAACTTGTGGTAGAGCGGCGGCTTGTGTCGGCAGCGGTACAGCGACCACACGCCCGTGTACTCGCACACCAGCGGCTGCACCGCGCCCCCGTCCAGCGCGCCCCCGCCCAGTGCGCCCCCGCCCGCGCCCCCGCTGCTATCTGAGCGCTTGCCGTAGCGCGTGCTCATGAAAAACCTGCACAGATACAATACATGTGTGTGTCAGCTGTGTAACATCATTTAGTGTGCGTGTGTATCATGTGTGTGTGTGTGTGTGTTTATAGAAAGTGTGTAGTAGTTTAGCGTATGTATATATATCTTTGATGTTACCTGTCGTTGCGCGGCGCGAGGTGGCGCGCGGGGGGCGAGCTGCGTCCGTAGCGCGTCGCCATCAGGAACGGCATCGGAGACACTGCACACAGCGCGTCAGTACACAACACAATATAAGTCAACTCACCATACACAAGTACTATGTATGTACTCACTCTCTGCGCGCTTGTCGTGCTCGGCGAGCACGAGGGCGAGCAGCAGCGCGCACGCGCACACGCACGCTCGCGCACGTACACACATAGCACACGTGTTATGTTACACACTACCGCCACCTGTTGGACACACGTGTCACTCAGTCAGTTAGACGACCAAAGAGTCTCTGTGGAAGTATAATAGAGCGGTAAAAGATAACATTCAGCCTAAAATTTTTAGGTTTGGTTAGAAGTAGAAGTAGTAGAATTAGGACAAATATTTCGATTTTGCACAAAGTATAGTGCTTCGTAGGACTTCGTAGCGCTACAACATGTAATTATGTCGTAGTCTTACGTAGCGCTACGAAATAGTACAAATCTTAGCGTTACGAAGCGCTACGAAGTGCTACGTGCCGTAGTCGTTCGTAGCGCTACGAGCCGTAGCACCAAACAGTTCAATCGTATGTGTGATACTGAAGGCATTGACATATTATTATATCAATCAGACGACAGCCGAGTAATTCTCGGTACGTGTGGTAATTAAACAATTACACCAACTACTGGGAACTACCAGTTGGATTAGCACAAAGTTAGCGGCGGGGCGCGGGCGGGGGCGCGGGCGGGGCGCGGGGGCGCGGGGGCGCGGGCGTCCGTTATCATAACATATAACTACGTTACGAGTGTATGAATATTAAAATATATTTTGTTTTATTAGCCGCCGCTACCTGCCGCCGCTACCTGCCGCCGCTGGACAACGCGTCAAGTTTTGTTTTCATATGAAACCATTGCCCGGCTGGTGGAATATTTTATTACTTGAACGAAATAAATATAAACTTTATAGAAACATCGCCTGTGTGTGTGTGTGTGTGTACCTCTGTACGAAATATTTAAATACCAACTCTGTACAAGTTATGAGTACAGCTAACCATATTCCCCATTACACGTATGCACCTATATATTGCTTTGATTTGCTGCCAGTTATATTGTAATCACATTATTAATTCAATAGTTTCTGTCACGCTTGGGGTTTGAACTCACTTCCACGTTCTTCCCAAGATTATCCAAACATAACGAATTAGTTAGTACGAGCTCAGTGGTCTACATGAGCTAACTGGTCGCTGTATCGATGAGCCATCAACACAGATCAGTTTCTTCGAGTTAAAAAACTGTACCGACCAACATCACGTCATTATTGAAGGTAACTAGTTCATTCATTGGAAATATCTAGTTATGATGTAGTTGTATGTAACTAGTAGTTTATTGTTAATATTCGATGGGCCGACGTTTGACCACTGTCTCACTATCTAGTTACTGCTAAATGAATGTCCTCATCTGATAGTAACCTTCACACCATTTGCAATGTGGAGCAATGAGGGAGACGTGTTGGTGTTACGAATATCTTTAATTGAGTGTCTCAATATCTAACTTACACTACTTACTTATAGGGTGAGGTGTCACACACACTACACCTCCCCTGTTTTTTTGAAAAAAAAAAATATATTTTAATACATATTTTTTTTAGATTAAACTGTAAAATTATTTTTATATAAACTTATTCGCACTGTTGACAAATGTTATAAAATATTTGTTAAAATTCTATTATTAGTTTATCCTTCGTACATATTTATTTTTCATATTTATCATTTTCCTTTACCCTAAACTTCTAAACCTTTTATAACTAGGTACACATAATATTTTATTTAAAAATTTTCACTATCATCGTAAGGTACATACTAACATACACATGTAAGCACATTATATTTATACAGGACTCTTCGGTACCTGTTCATTAATTATATTTATTTCATTATATTTATTCAACATTCTTCATTTCATTATTATACTTGTGCTTACTTTTATTCATATTTATATTCATTTTAAAATTTAGTGTCAATATTTAAGATTCTTATGATCTCCAATAATTTTCACAGAGAGAGCTCGTCTACACCATGATCAAACTAAGGACAAGAACACTAAACTGTACCTTACCATGTGTACCTATTATATTTATTATTAACTTATCCTTCAACTATCAAATATCAAACCTAACATACACAATCCAATTGAATAGCTTGGTTGACAAAATATTAGGTACGTTGTCCTTAGGTGATCAGCCCTCAGTCATACGCCAAAACTTGTGTACCAAGTCATTCCGAACTACGTAAAAACCAAACTTACATACTTATACAAACAATGAACACATTCCAAAACCTAGCTAATATCAAATTTCATTCATCTAATTTATTTATTTCACAAGACAAAACCAAAGTGCAGTTGTTATTGTTAATCGGTGTCGAGTAACACGATTCTTTCAATACAATCTGACACTCGGTATGACATCATTTACTTATATGGCCATGGGAACATTCCTTTAATCTGATTAATGTTAGCAAACTATGAAATAGAAAAAAAAATATCTAAATTACAACAAATATTTGTAAGATTTCACATTAATTCATTTAAAATAATAGTAGGTAAGCATAAAATGATTCAATACAAAACTTATAATATTGTCAACAGGCGTGAACTATATCTAGTGTATACATATATTATAAATAAAATGTTTAAAATTATATGAAATAACTAAAATTATGTAATATACGTTGGGCCCTTATTAAAATTATGTTTATCTTACTACTACAGTTCTATATACTGGTGTCCATTTTCACTTTTTAACTACACTAAAACACTTAACATTTAAACACAAAGTACTTTCGAGTCCGGTTACTACGCGTACCCAGAGTAGCGGAGATTCTCTCGGACGCTACCTGGTCGCCAACATCTCCCGGCTCCATCCTCCAGGACACCAACCGCTCCCGGCAGGTCCACATCTGGCTCGATCGACACCCAGCAGCCAGCAAAACCTCTCCTTTTTTTTGCATTTTTGCTAATACGCACTTTAGTCCACTTTTAAAATAGTCTTTATTATTTTCCACAAACACTAATTATCAAAATTGTACTCGTGCGCAGCGCTGCCCGCGTGGCAGCACTGGCAGGGTCGCCATGCAATGTGGAGCAATGAGGGAGACGTGTTGGTGTTACGAATATCTTTAATTGAGTGTCTCAATATCTAACTTACACTACTTACTTATAGGGTGAGGTGTCACACACACGACAGTCACTGAACGTGAAAATCTTCGATTTTATTATTTATTTTTCTGACTCTAATTTGATGAGCGTAGATCCTGTGACATAGGTGCGAGTGAGACAGCACTATATGTGTCAGCTAACTCTATCCCTGTCGGTGAGGCCGGTGTGGCGACGCATGCCACATGTCAACGGATGACGTCACAAGAATCCTACATCGCACATGCAAAGTTCACAAGCGAATAAACACGGATAGAAAATCCCAACGAACAACTGTTGGGCAGAAAGCCCGCCAGGCACGATCACCTCGCCTGGTCGGAGGATCCTCCTTTTCCGATCATAGGGAACTATACTCTCTGTTCCCTAAAGTGGTGACCCCGACGTGATTGGAAGCAACCTTCACTTAACGGAGCAGATCAGCACCGTCATCCGTATCGCCATCCCTCTCATTCATCACTTCTCCGCTGAGCGGTAATCAACTCGCAGCCAACCAGCATCCTCGGCCTCATCAGGGACCACCATCACCTGCAACGAAGTTGTGCAGCCTGGTTCTTCCCTACGGCCTCACCAGCGTCTAGGCACAGCACTTCTGCACACGGTTCTGAAGGACACCTCCTCCCGTCAACGCAGATGCCGGCCACTACGCACCTGCCCTCGCAGCATCTCTTCCCCGACTCACCGTGGGACACTGCGAACTCATCTCTCCGACTCACTGGAGTTTAACCCTGCACCGCTCACCCGACTCACTGGGCACTCAGCGGCACAGTTCCGACTCACTGGAACTAGGGACTTTCTACACTGGTTCTGGCACCACTCATCTCAAGCATCGACAGCAGTCTCAGCGGAATCGACCTCCGGTCTTGGGAGGGAGTGATGTGGCGACGCATGCCACATGTCAACGGATGACGTCACAAGAATCCTACATCGCACATGCAAAGTTCACAAGCGAATAAACACGGATAGAAAATCCCAACGAACAACTGTTGGGCAGAAAGCCCGCCAGGCACGATCACCTCGCCTGGTCGGAGGATCCTCCTTTTCCGATCATAGGGAACTATACTCTCTGTTCCCTAAACCCTAACCTAATACAGTTTGTCGTAGATCCGGCAACATCCCGCGGCTGTCGCCGGAAGCGTGTTTTTTGCCGGTCGTCCGGCGAGCGTCCGGCCCGGTCCGGCAGGCTGTACAGTGGTATGTTTGTACAGCAGGCTGTGTTTGCCGGCGTCTCATTACAGCCGCGGGCGCCGCCCACGCTGCGACAACACGCCGCTATATATATACATATATGTACTCACTATATATACATATATACTGGGCACTCACACACTCACGCTCACTTATTAGCCAAATGTTTAATTAAGATATTTATCTTTTGCTAATAATATCGATGTGACACAAGTAGAACGTTACACAGCCGCCATGTGATCGTCACATGTTCAACACTTAATTGTCCTACTTGTAAGTTTATAACCGAAATATCTCCCAAGATGTCCAAAGCAGGTAGCCTAACATTTGTATCCAGCCTGACTGCCTGGTCTACAATTGAGATTAATAATTTAAAAAAGAACTGTACTCTGTGTTTGCGGGGTGTTTTTCAGCGGCAGAACATGCTGTACACAAACATTTTATTGAACATCTTTATTACCTACCATGTTATATGCACATAAATGATTTGATTTGTGTTTGTGTGTGACCAATTAGTACAAAATAGTTTCAATCCACAAAGTTCTGCGCCTGCGAGTTAAATTTCGTAAAACTCATCATTTGTGACCATTTTGTAATTTTCCTTGTGACGTGAAACAAGTGGTTATTCGAATTAACTTTTGTAAGAAAAGAAATCTGAGATATGATAGATAGTGCGCGTGTCATTACTGAGTAGATGGAGCTTTACATCGCATCGCGGTTAACTCTAACTCGGTACCAACACCGAGGTGTCGATCAATTGCTAACCACGGCTTCACTAGTTTAAATTAGTGTTTAAGTTAGTGAAATTTTGACCATTACTGCCTACTGGCAGTAAGT